TGTCTTTTTATTTTTTTTTTCCTCTTTAAATCTATAAAGAGTTTTGTCCGATCAAATTCATTTAAGTTCGCTATTATACTTAACTTAAGTTCAATTATGTACTGATTGATCCACGTATTCAGGTTGAACAAACTTCATCAATCTAGGTTGGATGCAAGTATTATGCCAAGAGGAATAGAAGGGAATGGCCTGCCGTATTTAGTTCCATGTCTCCCGCACTGCTGTGTATCTCCCACAACTTTGGTTACCAACTTCACTAGATGACACCTAAAATATATATATGTATATATATATATGTATGTCAGATGACATTGACAACTTCATTTTGACACTAATGATACACGTGCAAACATATTAGCAAGTCATCCAATATAATTAAAAAAAAAAAAAAAAAAAAAAAAAAAAAAAAAAAAAAAAACCTAACATGATTCACATCAAATAATGGCTACTGTGAATCTAATTTGAAGCAATTAAGATGCAACATTTGAGCATGTTAGAGCATGTGCAACATAAAATAATAGCTTCTGTGATTATAATCAACCCATTTTTCAAACCCATTGCTCTCCTTCCCTCTTTTTCCTAATTCAGAATTTTCTGGTCAGTGGTCTATCCCGAAATGGATATAAATACCACTAAACTTTGAATATCTTTGTAGCATTATAGGTCGATTTTTCCAATGAGAGCTAGTTGACAGGTGGCTCAGATCTTGTGCCACGTCTGATGATAATTATTTTAGCTTAAGTTGGATTATTTAATTAATATAAAATTTACATTGCTAATGAATTATCGAATTTAATATTCAATTCATACTAAAGTAATTAAATAAGGTTCGAATCAAAATCTAATTCATTGACAAATCTAGTCCAAATTCCCGCATAATAGTGCATCTGAGTCCCCAATATCACATCTCAAACTATAAAATGTTTGCGTGTGTATTAAGCAATAGGTAGGAAATAATGTGATAATAAAGGATTTGTTTAGTTATGCTCTTTTTCCTAATTCAGAATTTTCTGGTCAGTGGTCTATCCCGAAATGGATATAAATACCACTAAACTTTGAATATCTTTGTAGCATTATAGGTCGATTTTTCCAATGAGAGCTAGTTGACAGGTGGCTCAGATCTTGTGCCACGTCTGATGATAATTATTTTAGCTTGAGTTTGATTATTTAATTAATATAAAATTTACATTGCTAATGAATTATCGAATTTAATATTCAATTCATACTAAAGTAATTGAATAAGGTTCGAATCAAAATTTAATTCATTGACAAGTCTAGTCCAAATTCCCGCACAATAGTGCATCTGAGTCCCTAATATCACATCTCAAACTATAAAATGTTTGTGTGTGTATTAAGCTGTATTAAGCAATAGGTAGGAAATAATGTGAAAATAAAGGATTTGTTTAGTTATGCTCGTATGAAATAATCTTCATATTTTTTTATGAAATGGAGAATATTTCTAACATCATTCAAAAGGTTTATTTTCCAATTTCAAGAATGTTGAATATTAATTAAGTTTTCCAAGATAAAGTGAAAGTGTAAGTTATTCGTAATCAATTAAAAGGTAAATTTCTATGAGATTTATCAATATTTTACATAGACTCATCTATTTTCCTTATTAGTGATTTTTTTATCGTTTTGCTTATAAAATGTTTGTTATCATTTAGGCATTAGAAGAACAAAATGATCCAACAAAAAAAATCTGTTACATAAATCAAAATCTCATAAAGATAAATGAAATTATAAAATATAAAAAAGATTTACGTAAAATGTGACAAAAGTTGTGTGGAAAGTAAGTTAAATTTATCCTATATTAAAAAAGCTTAAATTTTGGTCCACAAACATCTAGCAACTCCTTTGTTTTTTTTCCAACCTCAGTACAGATTTCATGACAAACAATCAGACATACATTATTGTAATCAAACCATTGTGTTATTGTGATTCCAACATATATATATGGTACTATATATTAGTAAAGAAGTGTATTATAGTTAATAAAATACAAACAGTAACATGGGTATCATCAGTCTACAATCCTCTATCCTTTTGTTTTTCTCCAACCTCTGCAAGGATTTCATGACAAATGATCAGACATACATTATTCTAATCAAATCATTGTATTATAAAATTGATTATATATATATATATATATATATATATATATATCTATACGCCAATAAAAATATTGTGTGTCATGGTTAAAAAATATATATATATACTAGTATTAACACGAGACACTAGTTGTAATAACATGGGTCTGTTTCAGAGTCTTGAACTGTACATTTCTCTATGTTTGATATCCATATAACATGGACAAATGAGTGGTGGTCCACACTAGATCCATCTTGATCTCTATCAATGGTCCACAGTGATCTGATCACCATTATAGTGGGGCCCAATTTTGTAACAGTGAGATGATGAGCGTCCCCATCACAAGCAAATGGACGAAATTCATCATACTGCAATTAAAGAAAAATAGATCACTTCCTAAACGATGGATCGAGTGATTTCAATTGGAGGAGGCAAAGAGTTGGTTAAAAGACGAACAACACATCTTGTGGACCCAATATTTGGACACGATATCTTGTCCTCTTAAACCCTCAGGTCTTACCTCAATCATTCAAATTGATATAGCTTCATTGTGTATATACACTATGAATGTCTCTAAAAAAACATATACACGTGTTTTCATTAAATTGCAATATTAAAAATTTATAAAACGATATAATATGTTGTATGCTTGTTGAAAAAATATATTGAATGAGTGTATATCTTTAATCGCATTCTCACTTTAAAATGCACGAATTTCTATATATACAATCATGAATATGTATATAGTCCACCTTCCGTCATTTTGGAGGTATTGGGGGGAGAGTCATTGTTGAACTCTCGTGAACTTGTGCACATTTACGTATTTATTAAAAAGCTCATATTCTAAAAATATTGTTCATTTTGTACATTTTGATTCTTACAATTTTTAAACACAGATCATTATAAGTGTCAATTACTTTTCCCTTAAAATGATGAAAATATTATTCGTTTTATACTTTTTGACCCTTACAAATTTCAAAACGCGTCTACACAAGTAAGAGACGTCCCTATAATTGCTAATCACGTCTCCCGTCAAACAATGTGAAACATCACAAAACATCTCATCATTACTTTTCTCATTGTTATAATGTAGATGATCATAATATTTCTCTTGGTGCAAACAATTCACGTGAGTTGCACCAAGGCTTGCCCTCACTTGTAAATTCCATATTGAATCAACAATTAAAACACAAAAACCATACGGCTGATCATTCGTGCATACTGCATTGAAAAGCAAAAATTATGAAATAAAACGTAATAATTACATATATTACATATTAGTCTATTAGCAATAAAGTTATATCGACTCATTAATTGAGGCTATTTAATAAAATAATCACTTTCGTGGTCAATCGTTAAAAAGTAAAGTAAAAAAGAAAGTATGTGTTATAAGTTTCATTTTCAGAAGAAGTTGGTAAAATGTTTGAAATCATAGTCATTATAATTTACTCTAAAATTTATATATCATGTAAATCAAGCATCTCATAATTTCATATATTGCACACAATTTATATTCAAATGTCACTTTCTAATATTTTTGTAAATAGGCTGAATAGTAGATCTAACAGGAGAGTGTCTCAATCATATGGATAGGGGATATGCTTGTAATGAGAATGCTCCCATGCATGTTGCTTTTCAAAATCCATTAAACTAAAACATTATAAGAAATAATTGAGAAGAAATAATCTTCAATTGTCCCAATCCAACTTCATTTAAACCTAGTAAGACATAGTTTTGGTCGGCAGAGAAAATAAATTGTCATTCTTGATATCACATAATTAAAGTTATACTTCTCTCAATTTTTAATGTTTACCCAAACATATATAAAATTTAATGAGTTTCTCCAACATTCACTTCTTTCACAAGTTCATATATGAAATTTATGTACGTATGTGTGTGTGTGTGTGTGTGTGTGTGTGTGTGTGTGTTTATAAGGTGGACATTCACTCACCACGTGGTACAACACCCCTGTTGCCTCCTCACCTTCCGCCTAATAATTCAGTCTCAACCTTATCTCCTCCCATGTTGAGCTGCCACAGGATACCTTGCATTGAATATGCTTATTAACACCCTTGTAAATATTCATGCAATTTATTTATTTTAATTTATTTATTTTAAGAATTCACCCTCCCATAATATATATTGAAATACAAAATTGTAATATCATTAAGTTGAGAGTAAAAAATGATAATCCAAAATTTTATTTGTTGTTAAATACTACTTTTGTCCCAAAAAAATTGTCCTGTTTTGAAATTTATAACTCTTTTTTAAAGATATCTAAAGACGTTAAAGTCCTTTAGATTTTAGGTTTGAATTATCGAGACCATCATTGTTACATTCTCAATTTAGTGACATTATATTTTTGATTTAATAGTAAAGTGAGGGCCAAGCATTCGTCGGCCCATGGATGCATGGAGATGGGACCTAGGTATATACTCGGCCCTTGGTTTCGGTTATTCTCATCAGCATAAAAATCAGTCACACACATATTCATATTCACGTACCATTCAAGTCAGGAGTGCGGTTCGACAGTGAAACCTCAAGCATTCAAGTCAGGAGTGCGGTTCAAAAGCGATTCGAAAGCGAGACTTTAGTGACTTACCTTCCTCCCTCTCAACGTCATTATGCCCATAGGATTGAGAGTTATAGGGCTGATATACATGTTATAAGAGAAAAAATAAATAAATAAATAAAATAAAAAATCTTCAACACAAATCATTTTATATGAACTAATATGGCCATTAATTTTCTTAAAATTAATGTGGAATGTTACATTCTTAATTTAATCTCATTGAATAGAATATGTGGAGCTGTCTCTCACTCACCACAATTCAGCACCACAAGTTGGGGGCAAAATCGTAATAAAACCGCCATGGAAATATGACACTATTATATAAAGCCTGAAAGTCCCCAGCTTCACTCCCCATTCCCAGCGTACATGACCTATAGGACATCACACTTATTTACATATACTTATAGAGTGAGAAAGTAGTGAGGTCTAGAGAGAGAAAGAAATGGGTCTCCTCTATTTCATCACAGCTATCTTACTGGCTGTTAGTACTTCAGTCAGCTCCTGCCCGCCGTCAGACCGGGCAGCTCTTCTCGCCTTCAAAAATGCCCTCCGCGAGCCTTACTTGGGCATCTTCAATTCATGGACGGGCACTGACTGTTGCCACAACTGGTACGGCGTCAGCTGCGACCCGTCGACCCGCCGCGTCGCCGACATCAACCTCCGGGGCGAGTCCGAAGACCCCATCTTCGTGAAAGCCGGCCGGACCGGTTTCATGACCGGTTCGATCTCTCCGACCATATGCAGACTGAACCGGCTCTCCAGCATCACCATCGCCGACTGGAAGGGCATCACCGGAACAATCCCGCGATGCATTTCGTCGTTGCCATTCCTCCGAATCCTCGACTTGATCGGAAACAAAATCGCCGGCGAGATTCCAGCCGATATCGGCCGACTGAGTCGACTCACCGTGTTGAACGTGGCCGACAATCAAATATCCGGGCCGATACCCAGATCCATCTCCAACCTCTCCTCATTGATGCACTTGGATCTCCGAAACAACCTGATCTCGGGCTCCATTCCGCGAAACATCGGTAAGCTCCGAATGCTGAGTCGGGCTTTGCTGAGCCGAAACCGACTCAGTGGTTCAATTCCAACCTCCATATCCTACATATACCGATTATCGGATTTGGATCTTTCTCTGAATTATTTTTCTGGTTCATTACCCGAATCTCTCGGAAAAATGGCGGTTCTTGCCACGTTGAATGTCGATGGGAATCGGATTTCGGGTGCTGTACCTCCGAGTTTTATCAATTCGGGTATAAGTATATTGAATTTGAGCCGAAATGGGCTGGACGGTAATATACCCGACGTTTTTGGGCCGAGATCTTATTTTACCGCTATCGATCTATCGTATAATAGGCTGAGAGGACCGATTCCAAAATCCATATCTGGGGCCAGCTATATCGGCCACTTGGATCTCAGTCACAACCACCTATGTGGGCCCATTCCAGCCGGTTCGCCGTTCGATCATCTCGAAGCGTCGTCGTTTACTTACAATGATTGTCTATGTGGAAAGCCACTAAGATCTTGTTAGAAAGCGTTTTGATAATGATGGAAGCTCAGATCCTCTGTAATACAAAATTAAATTGGCGTGTTATGAACCGTTTAATACAGTATAACACTCGTATAGACTGCATCGGATAACACTGAGTTGGATCACAGTGTGATGAATATATATTTGTAATATGCAAGAGTGAATTTTACTTGTGTTTATTATATTAGTACGAGAATAATGTTTTGTTTTGTTTTCTTGGGTACTCTGATGTTGTGAGCTTCGTGCATGTAATTGACATTAGAAGACAATTATATATGACAAGTGAAGTGGTCACTAGTTAGTTACTTGAGACCTCAAAGGAAGTGACTTTGATGGGTACATGATCAAATATTACTGTTGTATCACTTAATCATAGTATAATTTATGTCTTATGTTAATCAAATTATTGTTGGTTGTATAATTCAAATGTCAATATCACGGTAATTTTTAAGTGGAAAAGGAGTCGCGAGTTTAAATGATATGTATAGCTTGTGATACGAAAATTCGAAAAAAAGTTGAGCATCTATGCACGGTCCCTTTAACGTGGTAATAAAGAAGGTAGTATTGTCATTTTCTTGAAATATTGAGCATTCAACTTGTGTGAAGAAGATACAGTTGTCATATATGGTGTCTAACGTACAAATTTTTATGTATATGTTTTCATTACTGATCCTTTGTGAGGTAGGTTTGCCTGAATTATGGTATATTTGGTACATGAAAAGGATTGCCCTAACTTTAGAATTGGAGAGGAATCCAAAAATAGAACATGCCAAAACCAAACGCTTTTATATGCTAAGTAACTCGGTGTTTTAAATTATTCTCATTTTGAAAGGATTTGTCTGGTTCAGTGTTTTTGAGAATAATTTTTATTTTCTCATAAGTGATGATAAAAAATAAAAAAGATATACAAAAATTGATCATTTGTGGAAATTATTTTTTGAAAACAAAGTTTAAAAAAAAGACACGTTTTCACATAATTGAGTAAGCCCTAATTCACTAATAATTGATATTAAAATTCATCAATTAACCTATTGGTCCACAATTGTTCGAGTGGCTCTGAGTCTTAATTCTCAGAGAAGATTTCGAAACTAGTAAAAGAGATAATACATTTACAATAAAAATAAAAATATCCCAAAATATGTATTAAAAACCGAATCACTAGAGATATATATAGATATATATATATATATAGATGTGGTCATTTAAGATTATATTTGTATGATTGATGATAATCTTAGATTATTACGACTTAAGGATCCTCTCGGACATTAGAGATGGTCTTGTACTCTATTATGAACCGAGATTGGAGTAGCTTAATGTTGCAATCTCAAACCTTTGATTGATTGAGTACCGGACCCTAGATCTCCAAGGACCAAGAAATTCAAGTAGGATCATGACAACACTTTTCACCCAAAAGGGTAAATCTGAAAAGTATTTGCATGTAAGCTACCTAACTATTTGTAGTCAGCCTCAGACATGTTGATCTTGCTTGAGAAATGAAAGAGAAAATCAATTCTAGTATTCTACAGCTGGCCTTTGATTGCTATACATGAATGTGTAGCCTAGGCATCTTACAGCTAAATTAATTTATAAGGTGGTGGCTACAAGACCACCAAAGGCTATACATGTGAGAACACTTGTAACATGTGACCTAATGAATTTGGCAATGAGAACCAAGTTTTTTTTTTGTAAGGGGTGGATCTCAAAGGTCAACCACATGGGCCCCACTTCACAATATATCTTGAGATAAACCGCATTATCACATTTCCAGTTCGAAAGCAGGACCTTCCCAAAGGCACTCCAGAACTACACCCAAAAATATAGCACCCGATCGAGACCAAAGTAGGATGGTTTCGAGGGTATGCAAACCTCCACTTGGGGATCTAGAAGGACCTCTGATTTGGATGATGAGAAGTTAGAACTCGCTTCACCTATCATTGACGGAGTCAGAAAAAATTTTTAAGGAAGGCACATTATACGTATTGTATTTCGTAATATATATTTACAATATAATATATATATATATATAAAAAGATAGTGATATTTTTGAAATTAAATTAATTTATTGATATAGAATATAAATAAATGCCTTAAATCACATTAAACTAATAATCACATTTAATGCCTTAAGTCACCGTCCCTTTTGAAGGAATGTGTATTTAATACTCCAGAGGATCTCCACAAGCCAAAAAAACCATTGTGACCCTACTACACCAAGAAGGGTCATAAGGGCCCAGCAAAGTAGGCTCGAGCTCCAAGAGCAATCCCTGAACAGAAGTCTTTGGAAGGAACGAGAAGTAGGCTAGTCATTATGAGAGCTGGAATGAACAATCTTAAAACTACACAAGGCAACAGACATCGCTACATTCATCACATCTCTCATAATGACTAGCCTACTTCTCGTTCCTTCCAAAGACTTCTGTTTATTTATTTTTTTCTTATTTGATATATTAATCATCACCGACCCATTTGCAATAACCTAGTAAAAGTGACTAATTCATGTAATGAGAATCTTTTCGACATTCTCATAAGTCATAAACCTGTCTTATGCTTGGCTCTTAGTTTAGGCAAAAGTGTAGTTGTTTTTTGTGGTACCAGATTACTATGTCTAGATTGATGAAATCTGTGTGCTATATCTATATCCTTAGCCCAAAAAGTCGTAGTTAGAGACATTAGTTCTTGAAAAGAGTGCGAGAAAAAATGAAATTTGTTGGTACTTTATGACTATGGGGAAGTTGAGGCAATTATTATATGCCACTGCCAAACCTCAAGTAATTATTCCAAAGCATTTATGTTTCTTTTACAATCCATGTTTTGTATTTAATTTTACTTGGGAAGACTCAAATGGTTGTCCATTGAATGTCTAAGATATGGTGAAGAGTATATAATGTTCTCACTTCTCACCCGGAGATTGTGTCTTCATTCTTGGAGTGAATAATTCACATGAAACTCCCCGTCATTAAATTTTTCTTTTTATTTTTCTTTTTTCTTTTTTTCTTTTTTCTTTTTTCAGTAATGTTTCTAAAAAGTCTATCTGATAAGAAGATTTATGAACTCTTCTATTTTTTAATTTAAATGTATTAAATAATTTATTTGACTTTTCACACATTTTAAAAAATCGTTTTATCAACTATTAAGAATCATTTTTCTTAATTTAATGGTTAAATATGGAGAGTTTATAGCTAACCTCAAGTATTACTCTTCTTTTTTGACTCAGTACATAAAAATTAGTTTGAATTACACTAATCTCTCTTGAATTTTAGACAAATTACATACAAATAAAACGTTCAAACATTAAAGTTCGTAGTCATTCATGACAGCGATCCTTCTTCGAGAATACTCAATCCCCCCCTTGTAAATAACATTCATTCAACTTAGATGTATTAAATAATTTATTTTACTGTTTACACATCCCAAAAAATCGTTTCATCTAATGATTAAATAGGGAGAGTGCATGGCTAACCCTCTTATGAGTATTACTCTTCTTTCTTGACTTAGTAAATAAAAATTAGTATAAATTACACTAATCTCCCTTAAAGTTTTGACAAATTATACGCAAATAAAACGTTCAAGCATTCAAGTTTGTAATCATTCATGGCAGCGATCCTTCTTCAAGAGTACTCAATCCCCCCTTCTGCCTTGATCCGGAGTAGGGCACATGATATCATTGGTCCGGCCTTACTCTGACCTTCCCTAAATCTGTTCGCTGGCAATGAAAATCTGATTTTGAGTGTGAAAAATCAATAATGCCCTCATTTTCATGCAAGATAATAGTGACATTTTCATACAAGGGAACAATTTTGTCTTTTTCTAAAATTTGGCCAACACACTTGCCGAAAAGAAAACGACATCAACATAATAAACATTGAACACTCTACCTATGTATAATTTACCCAAATCTTAGCGGAGGTTAGTGTAATTTGTCTTTAAAAGACCCAAAATCACTAAAATAAAGTATACCACGTTTTGCTTTTGTGTTTGTCAAAGTCTGTAACACTTCAGCATTATTTACATTAATTTGAGTGCCTTTATGCTTGAATTTTCACCATCACACTTTGCACACTTAACTTTGAGTAAATGTTACTCGGTAGTGACAGGTTTCCATTTTAATTAATCTGGTTAATAATTTTTGTAGAGAAACAAAATTATTTATTTACCTAGAGAATATGTCCAATTGAATGTCTCGAGGATGTTAATTTCACTTTCACTTTATTTTGTGCGAATTTGGGTAATTAGAATCAAAAGTTGTAGTTTAGTGACATCTCTTTTACCTTTTCTAACGATGGTAGTCCCATATTTCTTATCACAGTGTGAATTAATTATTGACTATTAATTAAAATGTTAACTTTTGAATTGTAAAAAAATTTAAAAAAAATTAATAAATAAATAAATAGTGAATAAGTATTTAGGAGGACAAAAGTATGTCACATGCTTGGTTCTCGAAGTCCCAAAAACTATTAAGAATTTACAAGTAAATATATATTGAATGCATGTTAAAAGCTCATTGTGGTCCCAAACATGCAAATTTTGTGAAGGCTTGTATATGTGTGTGTGTGTGTGTATGTGTGTATGTGTACAGCTCTCTATCTGTTTCAAGGGGTATGGCCTCATGAGGTAGGTTTACATGAACTTATGATACACCGGAACATTAAAGGACTGAACAGAATCAAATTTAAGAAGAGTCAGAGTGTTTTTTTTTTTTTTTTTTTGGTCCTGTCAATGAACTCCCACAATGAATTTATAAAAAGTCGAAATCTCTACTTTTTATATGGTTCACCAAAGATATAATCCAATGATACTTCTTTGTGATCTTGTAAAACTAGCTAAGCATTATTGTACTATTTATGTTTTGTAATGCTGCTTGTTCTTGCAAAGTTATAAAATATATATATATATAATACATACGCAATATATTGATATGGTAGACCTTATGAAAATGACAAACCTTAATTTCCACCAAGATTGGGATGATAATGTAGGTGTTGACTGTGTGGCAAGACTACCTTTCCTTGGCCCTTTTGCACATGTAGTACACTGAGAAGGAGAGAGGAAAAAGAAAAAAAAAAAAAGGCATTGATACAAGGTTGACAGTGAGACAGTGCTCTTGTCATCGTCTTTGCGACACACAAATTTGAGTTTAGAATCCTTTTCAGTGAAAAGAACTGAAATCAATCCAACAACAAATTTTACCACTTGTTGGATTGAAAATCGATTCAACAATGTATTTCACCTACTATTGAGTTAATTTCAAACCTCTTCGATATATTCTTGAAATACAAGTGAACTGAAGAGGATGTTAATTTTA